GTTATTTTATCAAAAATCTCAACTTGTTTTCATATACTAATTCATTTAAAAGCTAGTTATTTGCCATTCTGTCTAGTTCTTTTATCGACATTACCCAACTGCCGTACGACTTGACCCAATTACTGGAACTTGAGCTTGAAGGTCCAAACCAGCAACGTGGCGGTCGCCTCTTTGTTCTTGTCACATTGACCGGCCTCATCCGTTCTCCAGCCATCCGACTTGCTGCCTCCTCCTTGATCAATAATGGCTCTCCCCTAGCTAGCGCTTTTCCATCTAATGGTGAGAATACTACCTCTGGCGCTGGTGGAGCTATCCCTTCTAACGGTTCTATGAAGTTACAGCAGCTGCCCATGATCAGCTCTGATAACGGGAGCCCAGTGGAAATTGCTCCACCATCAATTTCTTCTGTTATACCATCTAGCATCACTCTTAATACGAACAGATTCTCAGATACCCTGATGGAACATATGATGTCTTTTAATTCACCATTACCACTCAAGGTTATCAAGGAAATAAAGTCTTACTATGTAGGTGGACCTGAGTTCGACTATCTTTACCTCCAATTTTTGTTATATTTAAAACGTATGTTTTTCTCTATGTCAAAAATTAATGTCCCAACTTTGGAATTTTTACTTACATATCTTTGTAAGTACAGATAAACAATGTAGAGATTACGTGGCATTTAAAATTTTCCACCATGTAGTAAGTTAGGATGAAAATGTGATTGCTTATTATCAAATCTTGGCTCTGTATCTACTCTAAGCCGCATAAGGTGATTAAAGACTGATACTTGAATTTCGATCGTAATGAAATGAGTAGGACTTACAACGATGGCAATGAATTTCACCTGCCTTATCTCCCAAAATTTACTCTCATTGAATAGGGACTACAATTTCCACCACGCCTGGGTCTCATCAGCACATTTAACTGGAATCAACCCAGATAAATCAGCACTTATTTTCGACATGCCACCACTAGATCAAATTGCCACGGGTGTTATTGGGTAACAGGGCGGTTGTAAGTTGTAAGACTAATCAGGCCATTCCTATATCACGTTTTTAGTGTGATTGTCGTTAAGCGACTTTTATTTGCATTTACAGTCGACTACATTACTTAGGAGATGTATATACCCTATTTCGTTTAAGGTTATGAAGGACTGATAGTAGAATTTTCCCATAATGATATAAGTAGAGCTGACGCTTCCATTGAATTTCACATAGCCTTGCTTTCCCAAAAGCGTTCTCATCTAGGATGGATTGCAGTTTCGACCTCGCATCGGTCTTATTAACACCCTCAGCGGGAGTCGAACCGTGACAGTGCAGCATGGGAGCTTGACACGTTAATCACTCGGCCACATTGCCACGAGTGCCCTTGGGTCAAAGGACAGATGTGAATTTTAAGGGAGGCTAGGCCTTTTACCATATCATATTCTTTGATAGGATTGTTGATGAGATAAACGTATATTTTCTATAACAATCAACTACGTTACTCATTTTTCTTATTTAAGTAGAGTCTCGAAACTCTACTTGAATACGAAGAATACATTACTTACATTCTGATTGAGTAGGTCTTGCACAAGAGCCACTGGTAGTGCCGAAACCTATTTAGTGAATCCCACCATTTTCTTCAATTAGCTCTTTCTTCGGCTATTCGAATCTTCCGAATGCGCGATTGTATGAAATATTGAATAAGCTGTAGTCTGATTAGGAAGCTCCGTATATAATTTCTTAGAATTGAAAACTAATTTTAAGGCCATGGACTAAGGCATTACTAAACTAGGAGCTGCCATTCTAAGCAGAAAAACTAATTTTCTTAAAATGATGCCATTTTTGTGATTTTTCCACTGTATCGAGATATTTTTGAATGTCAAGACTTCCTTCCCGCTTCCTGTCAAGTCAATTTTCATTGGACGCTTTAAGTTTACCTTTATCTCTCTCAATTTTAGAGATTAATTTTTATTTTTTAGGGTCTCACTCGTGCTTTCCATCGAATATATGACGTGGGATGGTGTTTGGTTAAAGGTTAGTAGGCTTTTATGCGTTTCTTCCCTTTATTTTGATTGTTATGCTTAACTAATTTGATAGATTGAATGTAAATAGCTGATTTAATTGTTCTTTGGTTTGCTATTTTCGACTAAACTTATCTGTTGGTGAATTGATGAGAAGTTGCTTTCACCCTATTTCTTTTAAGATAATGAAGGACCGATACTTGATTTTCCCACAACGATATGAGTAGAGCTGATGATTTCCATTGAATTTCACATAACCTTGCTTTCCCC